GAAATTAACAACTCCACACATGAATATTTATCCAGAGCATGCAGGTGCCATCTAAACACAAGCAGAGAAGAATTCTCCCCTTGCGGAACAGCATTAGGTAGGGAGAGGTGGGGCACTCCCACACCTCTGCTCAGGCTGGAGATAGTTTCCTTCTCTGCAGGCAATTTCCCCAAGGTCCATCTTATTATAAACCCAGCAGTTTGCACATTCTTCATCTAGAGTATCTCTTATGCCAGTTTTTATTTCCTCCAAATCCTTCCTTTAGGAGGGAGTCAGCCCTTAGTCCCTGCAGAAACTGTGTTGCTGACTCTTCAGGGAGAACCCAGAGCACAGAAGAGTGGCACAGATACCCAAGGGGACCACTTAGTGTGCTCTTCTTCCTTTTGTTCCCTCAGAGTATTTCTGCAGCTCTCTGGGGCTCCAAGCTCCTTTGGCACCTGGGCCCACCCAAAGCTGCATGTCATAAGATTCTTCAGCTCCTAGAGGCCAGGTTGCTTCTTATAAGCAGGAGAGCAAAGCCTCTTGCACTGGGATAAATCCCATCCACTATGTTACAGAGCCCACATAAGGTAGCTGTAAATTGACTTAACATTTTAAAAACCCACCAAAACACAAGCAGGGCCTCCCCTTAGTAACAAAACAGAGCTTGACTTATGCACACACCACTATGGAACCCCTGAACAGCTGCAAAATAAATACAGCAGTCGAACTTTCTGTCCTGCAGAGCAACAAAGGACTCTCAGTTTTCACCTACCCCTGGGAGCCCCAACCTTAGCCTTTTGTAAACCTTCTTCCTGGCTCTTTCCTCTGCAAATTTCCATTAAGTTCAGGAGCACTGTCAGATTTCCCAAGGCATGCAATGCTATACAAATTCCACTTCCTCCTTTCCCTCATCAACTTGAAAAGAGCTCACAAGATCTCTTAGTAAGACTTTATGTCAATATAAGCACACATGTACCTGACAATCCCTTGCTCCTTCTGCTGTGGAAAGGTATGTGCTGTAAAATAAATCTCAGTGAGGACAGTAACATACTGTGATGTATTACAAATTTGGAAAGCAATTTGACTTCTAAAAACATAGAAAAGATGGGCAAACAGCACCATCACCTCCTATACTTGCCTATGCACTTAAGATACATAGAGAAAAATATATTGGACTGAACAAAATAAATAAAATAAGCATGAGCTTACATTTATCAGAGTTTAAGAGGGAAAAGTATTAAATGTAATTTAATATATGCATAACATTCCATCATGTTGTAAATAACACCATGATAGTGTATTGCTGTAGTTTGTTCTTGACTGGTGATAGAGTTCTGTGGTAGTGCTGTGTAAGTTGTTTTTTTTTTTTTCCTCAAAGCATAGTTAGTAAAGATGGCAGAGACCATCCCACACTCTGGTTTCCCAGTTGTTCTAGAGCAAGAAGAAATGTGAGATGCAGCTTTTTTTTTTTTTTTCCCTTACATGATAATATTTCTTAAGGTAAGAGAGATGAGATTAAGGCTAAGCTGCCACCACCACCATCACAGTGTATGAAAAACACTGTGTTTGCAACTGCCAAGAAGAGGTAGTGCATTTCTGGACCACAATTCAGACCACCCATCACTGTGAGAAGGGACACAAAATTCCACAACCTGGGAACAGCAGCTTTCTGGTGCCATCTAGTACGTCCTTTGGTCACAAACAGAAAGATGAGGAAGGAGAGTTGTTAGACCTTACCTCAGGCCTTACCAGCTTTGCAGCATTCTGCTTTAAATAGCAAAACCAAGAATTCAATTTTGAACTAGGCAAGGTAATATGAAAACACCAAGCATCTTGGCTAGATCAACTTTGGAAGGAAAATTACAGTTACAGATCAACCACATTGCAAATGTAAAGGGGACTTGTCACTGGAAATTATCAGGCAAAGATGGAGAGTCCTTTTATTTTTAATTTTTTTTTAGGACAAAAAAAGTGAGCTGCTTCTAGTTTTTACTGACAACATTTCTGGTGGTTCCTCTGCCCAGCTCACTGAATGCTGCACACACACAGCCAGGTGGAGCAGCAGCCTGAAGCACAAATCCATCATTATTAAGACACACTTAGGTCTCCTCAGGTGCAGAAAGAAGCCCATATGCAAACCTCAGAGATGTGTGGGGCTCCTGCATCTTTGCACAATACAGTAGACAGACGTGTGTTTCACTGACAGAGGCACTCAGCAGCATCTTCCCCTTCTGTTAAATAACCTTTTTGTTACATTTGTTATTGCAAACAGTTCCAAGCAGGATTAATGAAAAAATTATTTTTATGCTAATTGGAGAATTTTTAACATTTTCTTGTGAAGCAGTAGATAGAAATATTCCTGGATCCTGATTGCATTCCTTATCCTCCACCTCCCTCAAATGTTGTCAATAAAAACACTAACCTTTCCTAGGTAGCATGGTGAGAAGACATTATGTGATGAATATTAAAAATAAATGCATGAGGTAAACCTGCTGTTCTTTCTGATTGTTATATGAAGCATGAGTAACACTAATTTAAATGTTGGCAACTAAAATACTGCAAAGAAATAAGAAAATGGTGTTCAATTCTGGTCAAATGGAAGACAAGAAGTTGTTTCTATGTTTTCTTAACAACAACATTTTTTTTCTTTACTATCGTTTCCCATAGCTTATATGAATTTGCAGCTGGTGAAATATACATCTCTGCTATATGTGTCTCTCACCAGATCAAGAGGAAAATACAAACTTTTTATAATTTTGTACCTGTAGAAAATGTTTGTATTTTTTGAATTAGAAACAAACTGCTTTTTGTCTTTTGGTCCAACTAAAACTTTGTGTATTATTACTATTATTACCGTTTTGGAAAACCTGACATATAAGTTTATGCTGTTTTACAGTTTATAAATAAATTCTTATAACATTGCCAACAAATCCAGTATCACCCTATTTATTACTATACCCTATTTATTATTACAAATTATGATTACTTAGATGAGGCATTCATACAGTTCGCATGCCTATCTATGCAGCAGAAAGCTTGTCAGGGCAGGGATGACACAGACCCTGTGAGATGGTTTGAAATGACCGACAGTCTTGGAGCTGCACACCTCTATCAAGCAGATGGCCTGTGAGGGACTCAAGAGCACTTCAGAGGCAGCACACCCAGCCCCTGCATAAAGGCACTCACAGTGCTACACAACCTTCACAGACATCTGTCAGTAAGGCAGAATAAAGCATTCTGACACAGTGACAGCAGTGCCAGAGTTAAGAAACAGGAACGCAGCCAAAACAATCAGGAGAAAGTACAGACAACAGTGTGGAGACACCATCAATCACAGCCTTTCTTTTTTTTTCCTCCTGCAAAAAATACATTTTGTCATCAACTCCTTTATGGCAAAAGGTTTGACTGGGAAAAAAGATAATCACATGTGGCTTAACACACAGGGAAACAGGGAATAAAGATAACTGCAATAGGAAAAGGCATGAAAGAGCAGACAGGGAGACATCCTTGAGTTCTTCCTTTACACCTCATTCCTCTATGCAACGGCAAAGGGCAAAATAAGATGTGCCCTGCTGTCTTCTTCCCATAATCAATGTTATTCAGTCAACAGGGGCTTTCATGTATCAATGTGTGCTCCAAAACCAACACAGCTTGCTGTTGGTACACTTGTGCACTCCCTTCATCACCAACACACATCAGCCCAGAACCACTAGGTGCAACGGGTTCTCAACACTCTTGTTTGCCAATGTTGTTGATGCATCTAGTAACAAAACAGGATTGAAAGTACCATGCTTACCTGAGCACAGCATTCCAAAAGAACTGTAGCATGCCCAGCTCAAAACACCTTGGAGACATGATTTGAAAAAGCAAACCTATCTGCATTAACAGAAGCCTTTCATAGTGCATACAAACATTAAACAAGTGTGAAAATGCAAAACTTTGAATAAACTTTTCGTTCCCTTCCCCAAAAAACTTTCTCATTCCATTGTCAACTTGGCATTTCAGTTTTCAACTTTTTAGTTTAAGAACTGATTTTTTTTTTTCAACTTTTTACAGATTTCACAAGTTTGACTGCAAAAGTTGAAAAAAACTCCATTCTAAGTTTCACTCCCAAATAGCTTTTGGGAGGTGTGGAGGTGGAAAGTGAACATTTTAACTTACCAAAGCTGATGTAGAACATGAAGTCCCACATTATATGCCAAGTGAGACAAACAAAACTTTATCAAGAAGTGAGTAGTAAAAACTAAACTCAAGGATTAATCAGGAATTGTAAAATACAGGTTCTCTTACAACATCCAAAGCCCATCTGTTGCCTCAACAAGTCTTGATCCTCTGTGCTAAATTCTTAGTGGCTACACCTTCACACACCATCATGACTTGACATTTCTCTAATGTCAAGTAAGTCATTAAGTCTGTAACCAGACAGGAATCTTAATTCCAGGTTGAATCTGCAACCAATACTGAGTAAGAAATCAAATGATGCAATTATGAAATGTGATAATAGCATTTAGCAACCAAACTCTGCATACCCCTTCTGTTTCTACACGGCTCCAGAAACACTCCCTTCTGCTTGTTATCTAGCACTTGATCCCTCCAAACCCTCTCCCTCCTCTTGATCCTCTTAGTTCTGGCAGACACATATCTCCAGGACATGCAAGTAAGGTAAGGTGTGGGGGAAGTAGCGTCCCAGAATGCATCCCTGTCTACAGTGTGGCTCTCCCTATCCCAGAACACTTTCCCATCCTGGGAGGGGGGCAGCCCCTGATGGTGCTGCAAGCTTGGCAAGACACAGACCTCGGGGTCAGAGATCACCTTGCTCAGGCTCCCAGCCCACAAGGGTACCAGTACACCTAGAACAAGTTTCTGCTCTAAGGGCTGTTTTCCTTACCATGTACACATTCTTCGCTGCCAGAGCTGTTCCAACAAGCTCCACATCTCCTTACAACACAGAAAATTCTATCATTTAAGTTATCCTTATCTTTGTCTCCCCCTAAAATACTGAACTTTCATTCTGGATGTGTTACTAACAATTGCCATTTTTAATGGATGGACCTTAAAAGCAACAAAATAAAATATTTAGCTATAGAAGACAATCAATGTTGTTCCAGAAACACCAGACTGCTGAAATCCAAATAGCACTAAAAGGCAGTTTTGGTAAAGATTTCATAGAAAAGCCTTAAGAAGCATGGAATCAAAACAAACATGGATTAACCAGGATAACCAGTAGCTTTTCAGTGTCCATACTCATTTGGCTCAGTCCTACATGGTTTTGTTTTTAAAAACCAAACAACCAAGCCACCAAACCACTATTACAAAGTGCTTATTTGGAGATGTCTACAGAGACATACGAGTGTGTAATGCTTGTCTGGGACAAAACTTCAGAAAAGTATTATTTTAATTCCAAAGCAGGTAATTTTGAAACATTAAGAGGTTTTGTGGGACAGAAAAATTATTGTGCAGTTCCACTATCCACCAATAATCCATAAGGATAAAAAAAAAGATGTATGTCCAATAAATGTTTGGAGAACACCTACTTCCAGTTCAGAGTAAGATACTGCTTTTTCCAAATTCCTTCTGAATGAAAGATATATGTATTAATCCATTAATTTATGGATTAAATGAGTATTTTACTTACAGCCAATAAGCCAATTCTACAAGAAGAAATGTTTTCTTTAGCACATACTGACTACTAAAAATAGCCTGTATAATCTTCTTAGTAAGAACTCTAATCTTTATTTATAAAATGGTAAATTCTGATATTCATCCCAAGGCAGAATGGTACATAAAAATCCCATAATAACAAATAATATTAAAAAATTAGGATATGCTGGATAGGCAACAGGCCTCAGAAGTCTGTGTTCATAGCAATGTGAATTCTCTTATGCATATTGTCCACTTCACTCTGTATCATGAAGTTCATTTGCTAACTTTAGATGATTTAATTTTCTTTATGTCACGGCTTTGCAAAATCAAGGTCCCATTTCTGAATTTTCCAACTTGTCCTGCAGGCCAAATGCTAGGCACTGATTTCTTCCTTTTGGCCTTCCTGAAACAGGAAGAGGAAAAACAAAAATTAAAAGAAAAAGCAGAAACACATGTAAACACTTAATATGGTGACAAAGTCACCTATTTATGCAGGGTTTGGTATTATGGAATATCAAACCATAGCACGCAAAGACTTCAGACCATTTTTCCTTCATAGACATGCAGCATTTACAGCACATTACAGCATGATTTACATTTTTAATGGTTTAGAAACATGAAGATTTTTGGATAGAGAAGGAAGATAAGAGTACAGAGGGAACCTGCTGCACTAGGATTAAGATGTCAGCTCACTTTCAAGCCTCTGTATACTGTAGCCTGTGCTTCGCAGAAATGATTTCTTAGGGAAAATGCTCTGAGCAAGTGGTGTCTCATGAGTCTGCACACAGGGATTTTCATCCCTCTGACCTCCAGCTGCAGCCTTGAGACGTACTGGGGCAGAACTGACATACTTTCAAGTAAAGCTGTGGAACTGAAGCCTCTGGAACTGCTAGGCACAGAGCAGTGTCACCTTTTTTTTTTGAGGAGCTCAGCACCTGAAGAATTTTGTTGTGCTGTGATGTGCATGATTTCTGGAGTAAGACTGTGCAGTTACATAGGGGAGATAAACTGGGGAGACCATGGTAAAAACACCTCACCTCTCCTGTTCTTTCTGCTTCCTCTTCTTCTTAATAGAATCACCTTTATGTTCCTGTTTTTAAAGATGCATATTTTAATGAAAAAGGTACAAAGCATGTTGGTTAAACAACCACCTGTACAAAGAACATTCAGTAAATAGCTTTTGCTTCACAGAGCAGCAGGCACTTAAAGCAAGCTGGGAGACCGTCTGACAGAACAAGTAATGCAACACATTATGGAGCCACTGCCAGGAGTGCCCAGAGCCCTTCCTAATGCCCTATGGAAAGTACAGCCCACTCACAATCAATGTGCTGTCCTTGCCACATGCAAAAGGAGAGGCTTCCTTCTCGGGCATGTGACAGATCCCAGGGTCAGAAGATGGATTTGCTACCAGGCAGGTGCATCCTGTCACCCAGCTGAGGGCAGCTGTCAAATGACAGGGCTCAGCTGTGACTGGTCATGCACTTTAAGCCACATGACAGAGGAAGAGAAGTAGGTCCTTGGGAAAGAGGGTGGCAGGAAACCGACAGAAAGAGCAATTATCAACCCTATCAGCCTGCTCCCACCTACATGGGAAGGCTCCATAGGGAAGCAGAGAGTAGGCTTAGAGCCAAATGGGCTGTGCTAGAGGATGGATGCAACAGAAGCCTCACCCTTGTTTTAAATAATGAGTAGAATCCTAGATGGAATTGTGCTGATAAAAAAGCAGTTGAAGATCTGGCTCTCTGTGGTTAGACAACATGCAACAAACTTTAATTGGGGACCATTCTGTTTTCTCTTAAGAGGAAAGGATAAAAAAAAAAAACAACACTGCTGATTTTGTGTCATTAGTCTATCAGCCTGGAAGGGTGAGGCAGTGAAACCAACCACAACACAAGTCTAACTCTGCACCTTCATACTGCACACAACCAGCTTTTACCAATGAGATTAATCTTGTAGGAGCCAGGAAGCCAATCCACAGGGAGCAGCAGGTGTCAAGCCTGGGCACTCCTTTGCACCTGAGGCTTTATCTGTCAGGCTCTTGGGCTGGCTCCTACACGCTGCCTTTTTCTACAGAAAATTTCATACAAACCTTTTCCTTATCAGCATCTGTCGCTGCTTTTTTCTCTTTCAGCTTCTCTTGGTAAGTCCTGTAGTTCACATGTGTCTTTTTGGGGGGCTGCAAAAAAGATTGGGAAGGATACTGCTGATTAAATTTTCAAATAGGTCCAAAAAATTATTCACACACTTGCACAGACAGCATTTTTCACGTGGTAGTGGCAGAACATTAGAAATCCTAATTGCCTTTTGGGTGAGAGGAACGGACCTAAGAGACATCAGGTAGTCACAAATTGTTTCTTTCTTAGTGAGAACAGCAGAGAGAGAGAATAATGTTATCAGTCCTATAAGGTTTACATACACATTCTGAGCAAAAAAACCCCAAGCCACTTCCTAAAAAACACCGAAAATATTTTTTTCTTTTATACTAGTTATGATGAACTAAAAACTTTTCTCCATCTTTATCTCGCTATGAGAATGAAGATTTAAAAAGTGAGCCCCACTCTCCAACTAATTATTTTTGAATGGCCTGATTAAAAATTAGTAAATTGTTGTTTAAAATTAGTTGTTTTTCAGTCTGATCAGTCATATTTCATCTATAATACTTTCCTTATAACACAACCATACTAATTTTCCAATCATCCATAGAAAACAGACAAGACAGATCAGATGATGTAAAAGTAAGGATGAAGTGGGAGAAGGGTCAAGGCAGGGGATTTTTTGTTTTAAAATGGTAATACCAAAGTCCCTCACGTTGTTAATTGCTTTTCTGCACTGTAAGAGCTGGGTGACCTCCAGCACAAAACAAGGGACAATTACCTTGGCTCCCAGCATGATAGCACGCTCCTGTTCCCAAACACGTTGCTCCTGCTTCTTGTAGCCAGTGATTCCAAACTTGTGCACTTCCAGGCGAGCCTAGAACATTGCAGAGAATTGCAGGCATTTCATAATGTCCAACCTGTTGTAAAGCAATGCCTGACAGAGTGTAACGAAGTCATATGCCTGAGGAAATCCTGGCTAATATTGGAAATTGGTGTGCTATGAAATAAAACTGAGTTCAGAGCTATACTGCAGAGCAGTTAACCACTGTCCAAACTAATCTCTTGATGGTGAGGGCTGTCAGGGGGACAATTTTCAATTCTCCTCATTTCACATGATGTAACACATGGAATAGATTTCCTCTGTGTAGAAAATGAGCACTTACACTGAGAAGCATGGATGGGCAGATGGTGGCTGGACTACACACATAGGTAGGGTTAACACTATACGAGCGTACCTTGGCAAAACCACTAATGAATCCATAATCTTTTTCAAATCAGTGATTAAATCCCCACCCTTCTTAGCAGTAGACAGCTCCATGCTGAATCTCCAGAGAGAGAGGCAACTGGATCATAACACATCCCTGAGCAGCAATTAGGCACATAAAACAACTTGCACAGATCCGTAAACAAATTAGTAGCTAAGGTGGCCAATGCTAGTTATGCTCATATAAGAACAGATGAGAATAAAAAGACAAATGGAAAAAGCTCTTAGTTGTTTCAAGAACAGATGCCAACACACTTTTTTTTTCCTTCCCACATGAGATGTCAGAGATTTAACACCATAGAGCTGAAAGAACTATGCTAAACATTATGGGAATTCAAGCACCTTTATGCATCCTCCTCAAATTCTCATTGGAACATTAGAAAGAAAGGCCATGAGGTTGTAAAACACCTCTCTCCACATGGAGCAGCTGATTGCTGCCAGACTATTCCTCCTTTGGCGTGGCATGTAGCCAGAATTACCTATTAGGAAATCCGCACCTACAGGAAAGATTTCCTATTAGGAAATCCTCACCTAGGCATTTCCCATCAGTCCCACCATAGCTTTCTGAAGCATACACATACACATAACTGTAAACTAGTGACATTAGTCTGATCCTACTGACTTACCTTTTCAAAGTTAAATTCTTGTCTGACTGCATTCTTCTCTTCATTCACTATCTGGGTCTAAAAACAAAACATTTCAAATTAATATGACAAGTAACACCAGTTTAAATGCTAACTGGGATAGCTTTTTGAAAAGCAGTGAAATGTAAAGTCAGTTGTATGGAATAATACACAGGTTTCCAGCAGCATCTTCTTCTACCTTTATTACCAGGATCTGTTAAAAGAGATAGTTTCAACGGCATGTTTCTAGGTAAGTAAGAGAAAAACTGCCACATACGAGCTATATATCACTAATATTTGCACTTCCATACCAAACAGCTAATGTAGGATAGCTCGCAATTTTTAAGTCATTTTGTTTGAGACAGTGCAGTGATAATAGTGCATGTACTCACAGCTGGGGCAATATGTAAAATAAGCTTAATTCCTAACTGCATGGACATGTATTAGTGTCTAGTGCCAGAGAAACAGCTCCAAAGGGTAGGTACACTGCCAGCAAACACTGTTCTGACACTTAGTGCAGGCTGAAGAAAGGACTTGCTCAAAATGAGCTCAGTGAAAACTGTATCTTCTCTACTCCATGATTTACACAGACACCTTCCATCAGCAGTTCTAAGTTTGGAGAGGCACTCTCCAGGGGGAACACACTGTATCCTAGAAAGAAAAAGAAGCACAAAATCCTCAGAGAGAGAGTTCCATGCTTGCTTGTTACAGGAGTGTCCCATGGGACACTGTGGAGCAGTTACAAATCTCCCAGGGCTATTTTACACTGTCTGCCTTCTGATTTCAGGGAAGATGTGCTGAGCCACCTCTCAAGTGGAAGCTCTAGCCACTCCCAAGCATGCTGATGCAGGCAGGCAAATGGCCATCGTTCAAGAGATGACCCTGTTCACCTTCCCCGTTTGCTCCCAAAGATACAAGTCACTTAGAGGAAACAGGAGTACTACATAAGCGTTAAAGCTGAACTAAATAGATTTCATGCATTTTTGTTTCACTCTCCAGGACCTCAGGGCACAGTGAATCACAGGTTCAGGCCCAAGGGTTACACCAGAGCTTCCCTCTGCATCCACCACAGCCAAACTCATCTCAGCTCTGCAAAGGCTTCTACAGAGAATTGCAATTTCAACCACAAAATAAAGCCAGTTATCTTCAGAACATTTTGCTAACAAGCATAACACCAGTATTTTCAGGTAAAAACACTCAAGCTATAAAAAACTTAAGAAAAGTTGTAGAGGAAAACATGCTGGAAAAAGCACAAAAGTTTATGGATTCAAACAACTGCTTGAGTCTCTTAAGTCCCCAGTTCCAAGCAATCAAACCCCCAATATCAGTAAGTCTCTCTGAATTCAAGACAACCCTATGTCGGCCCATCAGAGCTTATTTTAGAATGGGCTTTGGATGCTATGGCCATAAAGACAACTCAAGGAAAACAACTAGTGAAGCTATAAAATCTGGAAACCAATCAACCGCTCTGCTCAGCTTCCAGTCAAACCTATCCAGACCTCCCTGCTTAAGGAACTCAGCCACAGTTTTTGGTAGTGCAAAGCAGTTCAGCATCAACAAACCAAACCAGAAGACTGAGGTGTAATGCTGTCATGCCTTCTCCCACTGACTACCCAACACCGATCCTCCAAGAGCAAATGCTGCTTGTCAGTGGCCCAGTGCTGTTGCGATGCCAGAGAAGAGAAGTAAGTTTTGGCATCTCACATCCACAGCTACTGACAGGAACAGAGCAGGACACAAAACTCCTGGGCATTGAAGTAACCAAATGGTTTTGCCTTCCATCTCTTTCACTTCTTGCTGTAACATCAGGCCTGTCAGCAAATCAATTTATTTTGCTGAAATGCGCCTATTTCAAACATAGAATTCTTATCCAGACACCTGAAATTGAAAAAATTGGTCTTAAGTCCTGCCCCCTCCCGTGCTTCATCCTGCCCGTTTCCAGCAGCCCCACAGGGAATCAGCAGGACCAGATGCCACGGAGCTGAGCACGCGGATCGCCAAAGCATCTGGGTTTGCAGGCAGCGGTGTCAGCACAGGGACAAACCGCGGCCCGGGGGTGCTGGCGCCGCGGCCAAGGAGCGCACCCGCCCCAGGCGCGCACCCCTCGGGAAGGGGCGACTCGGGGCGGCGGGGCCCGGCCCTACCTGCGCTCCGCCGGCAGGCGCTGCCGAGGGGCCGCGCCGCTCCTGCCTCCTCCTCCCGCGGAACACCACGACCTCCACGGCGGGCGGGACGGCGGGCGGCGGCGGGGCAGTGCCGGCGGTGCTCAGCTCGGCCCGCAGCTCCCCAAAGAAGCCGCGGGCCCCGCGCCGCCCGCCTGCCGCCGGCTGCGGCTCCCGTGTCCCGTCTTCCTCCTCCCGTTCCTGCGCCGGCGGCGGCGCTGCTCTCGCTTCGCCGTCCTGCGCAGCGCGCCGCGCACCGCTGGGCTCCTCACCTGTGCCAAGCACATGCCGGGGTCAGCTCCGCGCCGCTCCGCTCCGGAGCGCCCACGCCCTGCCCCCTCCCCTCCATTCCCCTCCCTCCCCGGCACCCAGGGAGGACCGCGGTGCCGGCGCAGCGCCCGTCCCGGCCCCGCGCACCCACCCAGGTCGTAGAGGGCGCCGAGCACCGCCTCCAGCCGGCGGCGCGGCTCCCCCGGTGCCATGGCTGCCGCGGCGGGCGGGCGGGCCGGCGTGTGACCCCCGGCGGCTCCCGTCGCACCCGACATGGCGCCGCCCACGGCGCGGTGCCCCCGCCTTCCGCCGCCGCGCCGCACCAGGCAGCCGGGCCGGGGCGGCGCGGGGCCATGGGCGCCGCGGGAGGCGGCGGCGGGCGGCCGGGCAGCGCGACGGGGTAGGGCGGGCGAGCGGGGCGCGGGGCGGCGCGGCGGAGCTCGCAGGACCATGGCGACAGCGACGGCGGCGACGCCCGGCCGGGCGCGGCGAGGGGCGCCCATGTACTCGGTAGGCGGCAGCGGAGGCGGGAGCGGTGCCGCGGGAAGGGGGTGCTCGCCTCGCCCGCGCCGCGGCGGTGCCGCTCTCTCTGAGGGGAATGACGGCGCTTGGCGCAGTCTGCCCCTCCATCCCTTAGCCCCGGTTTGTGTCCCCGGAGAAGGGGAACCGCGCTCCGGAGGGAGGGACGAGGCCTTTCCCGGGCCCCGGCGGACCGGACGTTTCCCGTCACCAGTTCCCCTTCCCGCGCGCCCTGCTCCGCCTCGGCTGCTCCCGCACTGTCTGTCCTGTCGGTCGCGACAGCCAGAGCTCCCGGTGCGGGCGCCGGGCTCCCCTCGGAGCGCTGCGGCAGGCCCGGCGGGTAGGGGAGGTGGAAGTGTCTCTTCCTTACGGAGGCAGTGTCCCGGGGCGGCTCCCTGCCGTGGCAGCTGTCCGGGCACCGGACGCTCCGCGGGGCTTCAGCCCCGCAGCAACCGCTCCTGCCAGCCATGGGGAACTCAGCGCTGGGAGGTTGTCGTGGGGATGGAGTGGCCGAAGAGGGTTTTCCCGTGTTACATAGTGAAAATCACTTTATTGACCTTATTCGTTCCCTGCAGCTCCTTTGCCAGCCTCAGACGAGGAGGTTTGGGTGTGGGGTGCTAAACCCCACCTCTCTACAAGCATTTGGAGGAGGGGACTAGGGAAAGAGGGAGCCAGCCCCGTGTTTCGTTACATTGCATATCCTACTTTTATGGAAGCAGAGGAGTTCCAGACTCCTGCTGTTTTGCTTCCATACTTCACCACTGTCACAGTACCAGTACATGTTACTGAATTTTCTGATGTCCAGGTTTCCAGCAGTGTGTTTTCTAAGTGTATTCTTTACCAGCTGTGAAATGAAGCTGGGAGAACAGCTTGGCTGTAACGTGTTACAGCACAGTTGCAAATCTTTAGTGTTTGATTAAGTGTGTGGTTTGGCTCCCTCAGTGCGCCTTCAGAACAAGGCGTGGCAATAACTATTGTCATGGAGAGAAATCAATTGCACATCAAGTCTGAAAACCTCAGACAAAGAGCAGAGGCAGAGAGGTGATTTTTCAATGGGCCATGGCCCTTGCAAAACTCTGCTCACCAGAGTTGCACTGGGGAACAGCTGCAGCAGTGTAGTGACTGCTGATGTGGCTGGTAATGCCTGTGCTGAGTGCTGGCTTTCTTTGTCTGGATTTCATGTAGTTGCAGATTGCAGGATTTGAACTTTTGTAACTGACACAAACGTTGCTTAGATTTTGTGAGCAATGACTTGTCATACTGATCTGAGTTGGTGATACTTAGAGATAAGTAATATTTTCTGCTACTCTTCTGAGCTATATTTTTTTGCCATTATACAACATAAGAGATTTATTTCTGTTTTATTTTAATCAAGGAGTTTGATATAAGGTGTTAATAGCAACAGATGGCTGATAGAAACTATTTCCAGTCATCTTAACAGAGCTTACTCAGCTCTTGCAAAATACTAACCAATTGAAAGCTGTGAAAGAAGAGAGGTTGAAAGCTGTAATGCTGAGTCATACAAGACAAAAACCCCTAAAAGTTTTATATTAATAGAGGTCTGGGTTTAATACCTGTATGGAATAGTTTTGAAAGTTTCTGCTGAGTTTGTTCTGCAGTTACTGTGAGGTAATTCATTAAACTGCAGCTGTGGAAAGAAAAGTTATACAATCTACTAAATGCGATTATAGTAGAGGGATGATCTCCAAATTTGCCTGTCGTTTTGGGCAAAAGAACTTGAGAAGGTCAAATGTTATAGTGGGATTTGTGTCCTCCAATAAAACAAATTTGACTTTTGATACAGATGAGGCTTTGAAGGATTTTTTTGTCATTCTTAAGTGGAGATATTCCTGATTTGCATTGTTTTGTTTTGTTCCACCAAATTTTCTTACGGTGATGAATGGACAGGAGCTAAAGGTTTACTCTACTAAATGTCAGCTGCTCTGACAGCGTTGCTGATGTGGCTCTGGTTGGCTGGCAGTGAAACCCGACTCCCTCTCCCAAGGTTGAAAACCCAGCTGCCACTGCTGGGCATTTTGCTTATCTGTTGCTGGTGTTTCCCCTGTGTGTTTGCTGGCCAGGCTTTCTGCTCAGCACCAGAAAAGGCCACTGAAGGAGCTCATGAAGCAAGTTTTAGCCTTCATTATCAGTTTGGTTCTGCAGGGGTCATATATAGAAAGAGGAGGTGGAATGAATGAAAAGATTGCCAGTGCTGCCCTTTGAATGGAACTGTGGAGGAAGACATAAGCATTTTTATTTTTAATATCTTCTAATAAATATGCTTGGTCGTAACTAATACATTTTTTATTTAACAGCGGTTTACTCCATTTGTCTTACCTGGTTGCTGTTGCTGCTGGTTTGAAGCTTGGAGAAATACAGTTTCACTCTTGGGAAGACTGAGGGGTCATTCATACAAACTGTAGTGATATAGGAGATAATAGGAGATATCTCTCTCCAGTGCAAGGGTCTACTGACTCAAAGGGAAGAGTTTTGTCTGAATTTTTTGCAGCAGGATGGATCTACAATTAGTTCTTGATGTCCTGGGGTTTTTCCTGCTTAGCAGTCAAAAATTACTCAGAGGCTGTGCTCTCTTTTTACCTGTGTGTGCACCATATTGCAGTCACGTGGCTGACAGTGAGGCCAGCCTCCTCGCTGGTAATGTTTGCTGTACCTTACATCCAAGCTTTGTGAGAGCCACAAGTCACCAAGGCCCCAGATGCAACTTTTAAGTAGCAAGGATTATTATCTGTGTCTTGATGATTGGATTTTTATAATGTCTTAATGGCATTGTCTTAATGAAGCTGTGAGAGTTGGAATCAAAAGTCTTTTAGTTAATCCTTATTAATCACGGAGAGGCTGGAGGCAAGGCGCTTTAGCTTTAAAGGCCCATCTCTTCTCTCAGTTTCTTCCTGTTGTGTGGAATTAAGTAACGCAGCATAGGGCAATTTGAAGATCTTTGCAGTTGAAGGGATTTTTGCGGGGGAGGTAGAGTTAAGTAATATGGCATAGGGTGATTTGGGGATCTTTGCAATTTAAAGGAATTAGGGTGAGGGTTTTTTTTGGTGGGGGGAGAGTGTGTGTGTTTATTTTGCTTTTTAGTTTGTTTTTTAGTTTCTTTCTGGCTCACTCTTGCAAGCAGGTAGTATTGGTTCCTGCAGTCACAGACTGTAGCATGCAGACATTATTGAAGCTAAGAAGCCCCGAATGCTGCAGAAGTAGTGCATATCATTATTATGGTGCTCTAGCCAAGCAGTCACCAAATAGCTCAAGACAGTGTCTCATTTTTCATTTGTATGTTCCTAGCAGAAAGAGCTCACGTCAAAGAAAAGAGATGAGTTTGAGGATATCTTGGAGGAAAGACGGTTGTCCAGTGACTTGAGATATGCCATGAAATGTTATACCCCGGTGATCTACAAGGGCCTTTCACCTTGCAAGCCAAACGCTATCAAAAGTGCTGTTCTCCGGTCAGAGCAAGTTCAGTATGTTATCAAGCAGGTGAGTCTGGACAATGAGCTCTAAGATGAGGTGGACTGAACACAGCCAAGCTTCATGTGGCAGCAGGGAAAAAGAGATTGTTGCTGACCTTGTTAAACTGGTAATTGTAGATTTGGAGATGGTCCAGTAAATAAATAACTCTTTTGGCAGGGAAAAAAAAAAATATGGGAGTTGCCACTAAAACTGACAGGTTCATGAAACAGTGTTTTGATTTTGCATATACAACACTTCATCATTAATTTATCCAGTGTGCCTGACTTCTTTTTTCTCTTTCTCCTCATACTCCACTGTTCTCACCACAGAACAACATTGTGAAAGACAGCACTCTCCTTCTTAGCAGACATTTTTGTACTTTGAAGGTTTCTTGTAGGAATTTTATAGGTTGGTGATCCATTTATGAACAAGTCCTAAATTCTACTTTCACTAAAATGAGAGTTCTATTTCACAGATAATTCTTCGAATTTGAAACACCCTTTAAGATGTAACCATATTTTTTGTTCTAACATGAAAGCCAGCTATTACTTTATAACAAATAAAGTATTTTATGGTTTGGCTGGCTGATACTTTGCACTGTATTTAAATGCCTGAAATATATGTGTGTGTTAATTAGCAGGGTAACTAATTTCAGTAGCTATAAAAAATAATTGCAAGTGTGTAGAAATATGTGGGATGTTTTGGTTAGTCCTGAGTGACAGGCTACTGTAATTTTTTTTCTGTTTGTTTCTTTTAATGGCTAGTATTATCCGTGATACATCAAAATGTGTTATAATGTGACAAAGTAAAATCTGTCACTCTACACCACAAAGTAGTTCTGTTTCCATTATGGATTGCTAAGTAGTATGAAAGCCAAAAAAATCTTTCAAATCCAGAGACACTAAAAAATTTACTGAAAGAAAGTACTTTACAGAGGATTTGACAGAAAGATGTTTGTGTAATGTTTCATTCTGAAAAAGAAAGTTTTTTTGATAGAAAATTATTTTGATTGCTGTTTTCTGGCTTCATCAAGTGGCTGAAGGGAGTTAGCAGACCTGCCATTGCAGCCTGGTTACCAGCTTTGCACTAGAGGTTACTGGAAGTTTCGCGCTGAAAGTGTCCTGGGCAGTTTGCCCAGCACTCTACGAATAGGGTCCCTCCTGCCTGGGCAGGGAGGGTTTGCACAGCTTCACAGGGGCGTACTTGAATTTGTTCTTGTGCCAAATTGTTGCAGTTTCTAAAGTTCAGTGTGGGAAGTTAGGGTCATTAGTTTGTTTTAGATTGCTGT